GCAGCTTGAGGTGTTCTATGACAACACTCCAGATGAGGAGATGAGGCTGCACTGCATGCTGTTGAATATCAAGCTGCCCAAGACCCTGGTTACAGGAAAGGCTTGACCATCCTGTCACCTGTGACTACCCTAAACAAGGGTGCTGTCATTTCCAGGTGTGCACCTGTTCAAGTACTCCTGGTGAGTAGATTGGGAAAATATTTTTTTATGTAATTAGGCCATGTAGTTGTTGTTACATGGTCGTGGGTGCGTTCCCGTACCTGCAAACCACCCTAGTACGAGCTGAGGGCTCAAGGGCTGCCAAATCGCCTATAAGCACCATCCTACCTCACACTTCCAACGAGACAAGTGATGAAGTATACTAACAACCAAAGGGAACGATAGAGTTGCGGTGAGACCATATACGTTCCAGCATCCTTGCCAGGTGTTCAGGCTCCTACTTCATAGTGTCCTTCATATGTTCGAAGCGTGGAAAGCCCATATCAGATCTGATTTCGTCGTAAACCGGACAGTCCAGCAAAATGTGTTTCTCATCCTCGATGTGGCTATCAGTGCCACAGTAAGGGCATACTCGCTCCTCCCTAGGTATATAACGCCGTCCCTTACACGCTGTAGCAGTCGCTCACCTGACGGGAGGACTGGCAAAGCGGAAGCGTGGAGTTATTAGTCCTCGTCGACGTAGGAAGAAGTCCAACCAAGCGGCAGGCACTAGCGTACATAAGATGTGTACGTAACGGTTAGAGACGGCGGCAGCGGAGTCTTGAACTCCGAACACCTAGTAATGTGATACGTCAGTGTCTGGCCAGAACACCCCGCCCGGGGTTATCTCGGCCTACCTGCCGGATAATCTCTACTACGGACCTTGCCGTACTAGGATAATGTTGGTGGGGCCCGGGGCCCCATCCCGTTAGATTCGCTTACTAACAGCTACCCAGTTCGTGACATGTGACGAAACTCGGAACATGTACGAAACTTGAGTCAGAACGTTTAACAAATTAACAATTATTGTTAAAAGTAATCGTTAAAATATTCTAAGGGAAATGTAGCTTGCTACACACGCTCTGTTAGCCGCCAGTGCCCAACAGCAAAGCCTAAACTGCATAAGCTTGCGATTCACCGAACGTGGGATAAGCATTGTGATGTGCGGGAGCACCTCCTTCCTACCCACTTGCTCGGCCGCCAGCCCCATCCTATGCTTATACTTCGCCATGTGGATTCCTGGTTGCTTGCCGTCTGACGGGTACACGTCAGGCTGGACATCTAAACGCGTATGCTTCCAACCACCCATTAAATGGGTCCTTGAACTCCAAAATCACACCTTCTGGCATTGGCTTGTTCATCAGCCACTCCACTCATTCGTCTACCTCGTGTAGCCCTTGCGGGGCCTCTTTCCATACATCGTGCCCCAAAAAACATAGAAAATGGAGGAGTAGTGTCCCCCATCCGGGCTATTCGGGGTTGGAGAGGGATTCTGCGACCACCTGTCGCAAAACTTGATATGCCACAGACCCACGCTGTAAACGGACATGGTTCCAAAACCTCACAACCTGCTTGAGAACGTGGTAGTGTAGGGGTAGCTGCGATAGCTCTGCGAACAGGAGGCGGTGTGTTGGTCTGGCAGCTCCTACAATTTGCCACATGAAAGATATCTGAAGCTGCACTGCCCTGTCCTTTAGGCATGCCTCGAAGGGCCCCTCTGCAAGGTTATTCGCATCACTCCGCTTCCTGAGCCTGTCCGAGACCTCAGCTAGCATAAACGGCCCCCACGCTTGACAACCATACAACAGTATTGCTCGCACCTGCGTATCGAAACACCTCATCCTCAATCTGGGGCGAACAACTTTAGCTTATCTAATTTTGCACTCAACGCGAACATAGCTGCTCTAGCTGTGTCATACAACTGCTGACGGCAGGCCCAGAACTGCCGTTCCGGCCCATACACTAACCCCAGACAT